TCGAAAATTTTATGTTAAGTTATTTATAAATATGAGTAAAATACGCATACACGATTTTCAGAGAAAAGAACTTATATACGAAATACAAAAATGCAAATCTCTCAAAAAATTTCCATTTCAGGATGTCTGGGAGTGTATTCTAGTTACTTTTATTTAGTTACCTGTACTTAAAATTACTTTCGTGTTATACAGATTGGCCTAAATACGCTAAATATATCAATGGACACCCTAAATATTATGTATTGAAAATTTAGTTTATTTTTGAATTAGCGTCATTTTTTTCAACCCAGTTTAATTTTTAATGTTTTAGGTTTGTTGCATGTGCCAATAAAATCATTAAAATCAGGGTAATAAAATTGTTCTATGCACATGAGAAAAAGTTCAACATTCAGTTAGTTGTTGAAATAAAATAAAATAAATAGTTGAAATGTTCACACACATACAGTGGCTGTCCAATAAATACTTTATTACGAAACTTTATCAATATGGTTAATGGCTCACAAACTCTTTTTTTTATTTAAATTTTCCAATTCTTAAGAAGCATTTAAGTTATTTCAGCAAAATTTACAGTAAAGTTTAACAATGATTTTTGAAAAAGTTCTCATCATATACTGAGTGTCGAAAAATTTTAATATCAATTTTTAGCTAGGACCTCGTTTATTTGAATGTAACCCCATATTTACTTAAAACTATGCTTTCACTTTTATAATTATTACACTTTGCTGTAAGTTTTGCCTAAACAACTTAGTAATAAAAAAATCAAAATTTGGTTTATGTTTTGGGCGAATACTGCATAAAATAAAAAAATAAATAAATAAAATATACATAATATTAAGTGCTGTAGAGTTCGAATAAACCTGTATACTGGGTGTTTAGCGCAGGTTTAGCTTGATTTTTTGAAATGATTTTAAAACTTATTTTTTGCAAGCTTTTAGTGGATATGGTTCTAACAAAGGTACGATGTACCACAAGTACTACCAAAATAATGAGTCTTGAGCTGACATTGCTTATAACAAAGATATAAAATGGGGATTCTTAATAAACAAATCTATTAATATAATATATAACTTAGGGAACTTATTTTTAATGCTTGCCTGCATTGTTTTTAATAGTAAATAAAAGTATAAAAAATATTTTTTTTTGTATTTATATATTATTATATTATATATATTATGTTTATTTATATAGAAACTCTCGTTATGAATTGACATTTATCTTTTAATGCAGAAATGTTATTATTTATAAATTTTATTATTCCCCAATTTTAAAAGAATTTTAAAAAATATAAATAACTCGGAAAACTTATTTTGAACTAAATACCAAGTAGAGATAATTTAAAATTAAATTAAATTAAAATTAGTCAATAAATACATTTGTTAATGTTTTTCTCACAAATTTTGGTTTTTTACATTTCTCTTTTAATATTTGTATGAAAGCGATATATAGAAAACTTCTCGTAATTGTTTGTTTATTTGTTTTTTAATTATATTTTGGCACCCACCTAAAGATTTTATTAAAAGGGATAGGTAAATATCTTGTTATACAAAACTTGTATGATTTTTTCTCTATTGATTTCAAAAGCATATAGTTCGTCGGTATTTGGTTTACCCATTGTTGAATGTTAGTTAAAAGTCAAATTTAATAATCAAGATCAACATTGTCTTGGAAGAGAAAAATGTTGACCTTCCAAATAATCGACATTATAAAGATATATTGTTTCCAGACATTATTATTAGTAGTGACACTATTAAAGTGTGTTTGAAAACCATCAAAATTTGTAAAAATTGTTTTTCTTTTCCAAGGCAATGTCGATGAATATTAAATTTTACTTATGAATGACTTCCATCTTACGTAGATATCTGCAGGGTTCCAATTAAGATGAAGTTCTTAATTTCTTATACGTTCGCGTGGCTCATTTGTTTTTATCGGTACGGTCAAAAGATAATAGAGACTTTAGTAATAAAAGGTTTAATAAACTCTGTAGGGAGGTGTCAAAATATTCACGAAACCGCTGTACACAAAATTAAGCTGAGAAAAATCTCTAATCGTACAGCCATCGAAACGAATGTAAAATAAATTTAATTTGTTTTTGTTTTTCCGTGTTGTTTACTTCTAAGATTCCAATAACTTTGCCTAAAAATCTGCAGGTTGTAACCAATTTTGCCGCAAAACTGACTCCCCCTTTAGGTCATCCCTCCAGCAAGCGCGACCTCGCAAACTTTGAAACTCCATTAAGAAAGTCCAACTGGCACGCTCATCCAACTGATGTGTTTTTCCAGCCTTTGCACAAGCAGAAAGTTGGCGTTGACACCCTTTTCCGCGTGATAGGCCTTAATCAGCAAAAGAAATATCATTCTAACGTTTGCTAAAAAATTGAAACTTAAAGATTGAGCGAACCATTTGCTAAATAAATGCGTGCCTTTTTTCATTTAATTTAGCAGCCACGTGGGCTAATTGCCTGCCGATTAAAAGTTTCCAAAATGACAACTCTCGCGTGACACACTCCGATCTAATGGTGCCGTAATATAATTGGACCACGTATTTAATCAATTTTGAGCACTTGTAAAAAATTCTAGAATATTCCCCAGACGTTTTTTCACGATTAATTGGGAATGTTCTAGCCGACCAAAAATAATAGCGTACCCTGACGTAATTATATCGACAAAGAGACACAAAGAAAGAAGAAGGAGCACATTGTATCCGAAAATATCAACACATCTCTCACACTTCAAAAACAATATTTACACGCTGCTACTTTAACCTTCAAAATTATAACATAAAAATCCAAAGTACTTGCACCGAACAGATATAAAGGGTTGTCATAATCGGAGTGTTTTAACAGCAAAACCTAGACAGAGCACAATCGATTTACACGTCAAAGATTCATTTTTTTTGAAAATTTCCCATAATTTTGTTATTTTCGAAAATATTTTTATTCTTTATTGAATTTTGTGTTGTGTCACGCATAATTCTATAATTAATGTAAAGGGTTAAATTTTAATATTTGGTATTCCAATATTTATTGCGTTTTGTTTGTTACTTTAAAATAACTATAATTTTGTTGTCCAAATAATCAAAAATATTAATATTATCTAATAAAAATAACATGCAAAATTAATATTAAAACATGGTTCATAAGTTTCATGCTCTTTTGCTTACCTTAAATCTTTTTTAATATTGTAGTATTTATTAAATTCATTTAAGGATTTTTATATGGCGTCTTTTTGAATATATTATGCACGTCCTACTAGTATATAGACAAAAAACCTCTTCGCCAGATAACAACAAACCTATACAACTGAAAAGGGCTCGATATGGGCATTTTTTTAGGAGCACAACTCTATGATTGCGTTATAAAATAAGAAAGTTGTATTCATTTATGAGAAATCCAAGAACTGTAGAAAAAACCTGGGAACGCCACTGCACTTGTCTTTCGAAAAATGCCCTAATAATGTTTTTATCCGAATCCAAAATTTTCATTAATAAAAAAGTTAAGTTCGATTATGCTCTATCTATTTCAGAAATAGGGTTTTCTTGCTGAAACACAGTAAACTTCAAAAATACTACAAATGCTTTTAAAAAAATGTAATTTTTGAATAGAATGACTCTCTAGTATGGATTAAGAACTCAATCATTTTTCTTATTTAATGAAATGATATTTAATTTATCTTAAATCTTATCTTATGTTTTCCTCTTATTTTATTTATTTCCGCATGGTTGCAGCTAGGGTTCGTCGGCATTTACTCGTTTTTTGTATAAATACATTTTCTTTACTAATAAAGTGGATCTGTTAAGTGGAAGAACAGCAACCAACCATTTGTGAGGTCTCTTTAAGGGAAATGAACTGAATCTCGTCCACTGTAGAATGATTTATATTGAAAAATTTTAATATATAACCTTATTTCCTACAATAAAAGTCCTTCATTATTATTATTATACAAGGTGAGCAGAACATGCATTTCTTTTTCTCGATGACCTACTCTTTGGATTCTGCCTACCACACTTGTATCCCGCATTTTTAAAAGCTAATAATTTATTTATACAATAAAATAACCAATTTTCATCAGTTTGTTGATCATATTTTGCAATTGTTTATTTGAAAAACATATTTTGATGATTTTATTTTCTAAACAAGGACTACGTACTGAATTGAAGCTTAACTTCGTAAAGAATGTCTTTGCTTGGTTGATTTGCATCTATACTATTCTGTTGATTAAAATAAATGTGGAGGCAAATGTTAGCTGTTAAAATAATATAAGGTGTTCAAAGTATTAAGTGAGTTTTCCAAAAACTCGATATTAGTTTGAACCTTTGACCAAATTAGAATGCTGTATATACCACTTCTTTTATTGCGTCGCAGATAATTTCCCAACTAATATCCATTACAGATAATAATCTCTAATTTTAGTTGCTGTTCCCCGAGTCTATGATGTATCGTATTATGAGTTGAAATAACACAATTTAAATTTCATAGTGACTAAAAGGATAAAAAGGTTTTCGTTTCTATTCAGAGTCGGCTTTATCCCTTAATGTTATTTCTTAACGAGAAACGCAATGGTGGTCAGACAAGTTCCACTTCGAATGCGTACTTATTATTTGGAAAACTTAGTGTTTTTTTTTATTTTCATAAATCTATTATTATCTGTATGGCGATGAAGCTAAGCTAAAGGTGAAGGTGAAGCTTGAGCATTAGGTGTACATAAACTGTAACAACGACTACATTCGGGACGATTAGGTTTGACAAAATCCTCAACCTGGTTCACAAGAACGGCAGAGCCATGGCCGTTCATGGCTCCCTTCGCATTTACAAGCAATGGACGAAGGCGTTTCTTGAAAGGAAAACGCTTACTCCCGAAGAGATCCAAGAGACGTTCTGGGTATGGTCTTGGGAACCTGTTATGTTTTCATTTGCACCTTGTTAGCGAGAATTACAAAAATTACACCTTATCTGCATCTTATGCTAGTGTACCATGAAGAACCCTGTGAATACGTTATTGCAGGCAGCAGAAAGCGGAAACCTGGAGATGTTCCAACGCCTCTATATCCAAGATCCAAGCCGGCTCGCAATTAGAGACACTAGAGGAAGAACAAACGCCCATCAAGCAGCGTCTCGCAATAGAACCAACATTTTGACCTTTTTACTCGCCCAAGGAGCAGGTAAGGTTCAAAATATTTTCAAAACAACCGTTTTTTTTTTCATATCAAAAGTTCCCCATTTGAGATGCCAGGAATTTACAGTATTCCATGCATATGCGGCAAAGAATATATCAACTAGGCCCAAAGAACATGAAAAAAACTAAAATTCTGCCCGCTAAAAATCGTAGAGTCTATAGAAATCTCTAAGAAACCTAACAATATTAACCAAGAATCAGTTCTCTACCTGTCACTAATATAACCGACGCAAGAGAAATCCAGAAGTTTTGTAAAAAGTATCACAGTGGCCTGCGGATGTTTTTTTGAAAAAAAGAACGGTTTTATTAACTTTACAACCTTCTCCAGAAGATGTCGCTAGTGAACTATTAAGTTTGTGTAATGTTTCTCAGATCTCAACAGCCAGGATAACGCGGGAAATACGCCGCTGCATGTGGCCGTTGAATGCGAAGCTCTGGACGCTGTCGACTACTTACTCGCTGTGTAAGTGACTACCCTTGCTGACAACAATAAGTATTTAATATTGATCCCAATTTGGCTCACTCTACGACATGTTTCCTGTAGTATTTGTTATGATTCTACTTGTGGTGCTTTGTCCGCTGTTGATCTTGGCTATCTTGAAGAGTTATATCGAAGTGAGGCGTTAGCACTGACGTAAATCATGTAACCATGAGTGCCTTCAACTACCAAGTCCCCTTTTGATCTGAGCATAGCCTTGCAAGATGAGTTAAACAAAACGATACTGAATTTTTCAACTCTTAATACACACTTAACTCCAATTGGTCGCTTGGGAAATTTTCTCTGTAAAAATTTCTCTTATCTATATTTTTCAATTCTTGATCTTATTTTAAAAGTAAATTTGTTGCTCTGATATTGTGTGGTTCTTCGCTTATCATTCTAGTGCTGCTTTAAAAATCTCTCTCGTATATAATAACATCATTAATATTATTAAATTGAAAACATTTAGAAAATGTTCAAATTCAACCCCTGGACACTGAAAGTAACATTCAAATAGATATTATGTCCGATCCTTACAAGCAATAAATAAACAAAAATAAATAGAAAAGTTTATGCTTAAGCATTTTAATTCTTCCAGAAGTCCATTGTCTAGTTTGTAGACGTTATAAGAGAAGAATCTTTAAAAGAGCCGCGTTGATGCTGTTGAGGCTATATATAGTCACGAAACATCCATCGTATGTACGTCAGTACGGAATCTAATTTTATTATGAAGGTATTAGGGAAACTTATACAATATTACTTACTACTACTTAGTATCTTCCATTGTTAACCATTTCGTTTCTTTAAATTTATACGAAACTGGATCTCTGGCTCGTATAAAGTATAAATGACACGCAAACAGGACTTATGGACTCTTTGTGTTCTGTTGATGTCAGTACCACAAAAATTAAAGACTAACGAATTAGTTAATCTTGGTCTTAATGACTTTGACAACAAATGTCTGTTTGAATATAATATTATTAGCTCGCCATATCTTATTAACATTAGCTTTAAAACGAAGTTTAATAACAAACTCTAGTCACAAATTTCTACCAGTCATGGTGAATATTATCTCTTCACCTTGATTTTTTCTCACACTGTTTACCAAATCTCATTATATATCTAAATTATGATTATTTGAAAAGTGTACTAAATCTATCTAAATCTGCATTTATGAATAATTGTGCCCCATTGTGAGTTGATGAAAAAAATGAAAAGTGCGACTGTGTATCACGTGCGTAAAGTATGGGTTAGTTAGAGAAGCCCAATGATCGAACCTTCCGAAACACACTGCTGTGACTTGCGGTTTTCTAAGCATGTTGGTTTGGTGTTACAAAAATCCCTCTATAAGTTGAGGACATTGTATATTCATAAACATTTTGTCAGTGAATAAGTCAGACTTAAACTCTGTGATAGTTAGTCGAGATAACGAGAGGCTCCAACCACTTCAGAACGCTTGTATTTCCATATTTCACAGTGCCTCTCTGATTAGGGTTGGCTCAAGCTGGAGGACCGTCACAAAGTTCAGTTAGCCGCCTTTGTTTTTTTACTAAACTCCAAGAAGACCCCGTCGTACTTGTTTGATAAACTTTGCAGAAGAAATGATATTCATAATCGAGACTTTCGTCATTGTTTAAGATATTGCGTTCCTAGACACACTTCGGTAACTTTCCAGAGATGTTTTTGCTATAACGCAGTTAAATTATTCAATGAAATACTTTATGCGTCCCTCCCCACAAAAAAGTAGTTCAAAAACGCGTTGTTACTGTTTATAAAATTTTATAAAACTTGGCCCTACCCATAGTTAACACGTACGCCTCTGGACGACGGCTCCTAAATTGGAAATCCACTTTTTTCAAATTTCCGTCCAAGGAAACGTACTATAACGGAGGCAAATCGTCACCGGTGTCCCGAGAGATTAAGCAGACACATTTTAGCACTTAACGGAAAACATTGGCTCGTTATCTGGATTATCGATGGGGCAAAAGCGGTTGAAAATAGGCGTTTTACCTTGTTTCGTTTTAGCGGAGTGAAAAACGACTTGCTTAACGAAAAAAAGCAGGCCCCCTTGCACCTGGCGACGGAACTTTGCAAGGTGTCAGTGCTGGAGACGATGGCGCGGCATAAGGACAAAATAGATGTGCAACAGGGCGGCGAACACGGACGCACGGCACTGCATATCGCCGCGATTTACGACCACGACGCTTGTGCTAGGATACTGGTACGAAATATTGCGGCCAACGACTTAATTAGCTAGCATGTCGCGGGGGGATTTAAATTTTACCGCCGTCGCCCAAATCCTATGGCGCCAAAAAGAATTTTAATCCCACCTAATTCGAAATAAGTCTGACAAATTCTAAAATGTAGGAAATATACAGGACGTTCGGAAATTGAGTTCGGAAAATCGTAATATTTTCTGAATTACAGTTTGCCAATTTTTTTTTTAATTTTATTTTAAACGCAGTGGGGCTTAATGCTCAACAGAAGGAGCTGGTATTTCATACAAAGGCCTGATTCAGTAAAAGTCATCGTTACAAAATAATTGGTACAGAAATGATCACCGTCGAAAAAAGTATTTTTTTTTGTCTGTCCGTTCTCCGTTTTCCGTAGAAAATTAAAATTTTCCTCCTTTTTAGCCCTCTACGAGACACATAAGCTTGTCTGAAATGGCCTCGATCCAACGCCGGCATCCATCTTTTTTTCGCGATTTTCAACTGTTTTTTCAACTTTACTATGAAACACGATAAGTGTCCGAAATTTGAAGCAATCGACTTCATATTTGGCACATATATGCAGCTTTGCCCCGTGACGGAACCTATTGAAAATGGGGGGGGGGGGGTTAGGAAGTATTCTAAAAAAACAAAAAATCGCATGCGCGTGTTGGTCAACAAAAAACATCATTTTTTTAAAAACAATATACGAAATCAAAAAAATTTTGAACCAGCGGACGCAGAAGTTACGGTTCCATAAACTTTTATCCTTGACAATTTTTCAAAAATTCAAATTCAGAAAAACTGAAAAATTGGTCCCTTTTATTGAAAATTGGTTATAACTGAAAGACTATGATTCATGATTCACCTTTTTTTACATTGCGATATAGCCCTTATAAACAGCTAAAACTATGGTATTTAAGGTTTTCACCTATTGTACAGAGTGTTCCCCATATTTCGTGCTAAATAAGAAATGTGTTAATTGTCCTAAATTTGCAGATATGTACTTCAAATTTAGCAGAAAGCGTATGTGACAAATAAATAATTGGGAAAGCAAGCTTTTTTCAAGATGTTGCAAAAAAATATATATATGTATGGTGTGCGATTTAGGAAAATCGATTTTTTTCAATTAAAAATGATTCTCTTTTTTCGAACACTTTGTCGCACCTAATTCGATTTCCTTCACAAATAATTTTGTTTTCATGTATGAATGCTATTGTCTAAAAAAAGATTAAATATTGTAAAAGCCATTAATAAAAAAAATTGAACATTTAAAAATAATTCAAAACAAAATTTTAAAATATAATACTCCATTAAAAAAATATATGTTTTTGTTTACTGGGTGGTATTTCATTTTTTTTTTTTTTTGATAATGAGTTCTTAGTCCAACTGTGGCTGTTGGTTTGACGGTCAACGCGCGAAAGCGTCCACTTTCCTTTTTTTTTCAAAATTTGATTTTTGTGTGTTTAACTCAAAAACGCGCAGTCTGATGGCCCTCTGTCTGTTAATCATGTCGCTAATTGGATTGAAAGAAAAATAATTCTTTTGATACAAGAAACAGTAGAGCCTGCTGGTAGCGCAAAATTTAAATTAAAGAAAACAAGAAATATTCTGTTTGTAAAGAAAGGTCATGAAACGCGAAGTAAAAAATCCTTTCCTTAAAAAAAAAAACAAATATAAATTAATAAATGATCATAATAAAATATTCAAATAAAATTAAATAGGAAACACAAAAAGAAAACAAAAAAAATCTAAATTATAAAATGATAAATAAGAAAACGGTTTAAATCAAAACCAAACAACTATTTTTAAATAATACATACATGTTTTTAAATAATTTTAAATCGTGCAACTCTTATATTAATCACTTTCTCATAAATTTTGAAACAAATGAGATAACGAACTTTACACCACGTACACAAAGTTTCGCAATGGTTGTTGAAATTTTAGATCTCGGATTTCGGAGCGTGTCCCCGCAAACCCTGCAACAACGGTTACTATCCCATACACGAGGCGGCCAAGAACGCGTCGTCCAAAACCATGGAAGTGTTCCTGCAATGGGGCGAATCGCTCGGCTGCTCCAGGGAGGAAATGATTTCGTTCTACGACGCCGAAGGAAATGTCCCTCTGCACTCGGCGGTACACGGAGGCGACATGAAAGCTGTCGAATTATGCATAAGGTAATACCAATTCGCGATTCAGCCCGGTGGCGGAGCAAACGCATTAAGTTTGTCGACACCCCGTCCCTGCCGATCGCTTTTCTCGAAATAAGAAAATATATTTAACGAAGAAGCTTTTTGGTGGCTTCTAAAATTCCTATAAAATTGAATAGAACACAGAAAATCTACTCCTCATAAAACCAATGGCGCGCTTGGCGACAAAACTTATATCTCGGCAACGGTAGGTCCTAGGGGACCGCCATTGGTGCAGAAATGATCAGCGTAAAAAAAAAATTTTTTTTCTTCTGTTCTCCGTTTTTCTGTAGACCTGGCATTAATTGGCTATATCTTTTGAACGGTTTCCAGTGCGATCTTCAAATTTGGCTTTTTTTAAGCCGTACATGAGGTACACAAACCAGTAAAAAAATAATCTGATCAAATCAAGGCGTCCATCTTTTTTTTTAGATTTTCGATGGTTTTTTGGACATTGCTATGAAACACGACAAGTGTCGGAGATTTGAAGCCATCCACTTAACATTTGATAGGTGTGTAGAGCTTAACGCGATTAGCAAAATTTGTGAACCAGGAAATTCCGGGGATCCGGGACCATAACTTCTATCTCAAGCAACTTTGTCATTAATTCTATTTGAAAGGGTTTTGAACTCGTAGGGGCACAAGATGTATGCAACTTCAAGATGTATAGAATAAAGTTGGTCTATTACCTTGTAGGTATAATGAATTCTTTCCCGAAGTAAAGCAAAATCAGATTTACGAAGAATTTTATATAGCTTTTTAGGGGATATGGTCTACAACTTAACAAAAAAGTCAGTGTACAGAGTATTCACACAAGCTTCATTCGCTGATCTTTTAACTTTTCGCTTTCGTGCTTGTACTCAATATCTTGGATCGGTCAATAACAAAATTCCGTTTGAGATCCCAGGGTTTTACAGCATTCCATGTATATGTTGCAGAAACAGGATAAAAATTATCAACTAGGCTAAAAGGGCATGAAAGAGTCTCAGTATCTCTATATCTTCTACTAATGAAAAACCGGAGAATCCATTGAAATTTATAAGCAACCCACAAATATTAACGCTACCTGAAATAGCGTATAAACAGATACAGAGTAGAAATGCTAGCCAGTTTCAGTTCTGAAGAAGCTAACATGATGATTGGCAAAACGTCAGCAATTTTGATTTATCACTAACCGACCCAGAAGATTTGTAAATAATATTACAGTAGCCTAAGGAAGTTTTTCGAAAAAAAAAAGTATTATATTGAAATAATATTTAGTTTAATTTTAATTTAAATAGATCTGGTGCAAAAATCTCGACCCAGCAACACGATCTCTCTACCCCCGTGCATCTCGCTTGCGCTCAAGGCGCCATAGAGATCGTGAAGATCATGTTCCAATTGCAGCCCGAGGAGAAAATGGCGTGTTTGACTTCCTGCGATGTGCAAAAAATGACGCCACTGCATTGTGCCGCCATGTTCGATCATCCGGAGATCGTGGAGTATTTGATAGGGGAAGGGGCGGATTGTAACCCGATGGACAAAGAGCGCAGATCTCCTCTGCTTCTAGCAGCTCTACGCGGCGGCTGGAAAACGGTAAGCAGCACTACTTTTTAAGCCAGTGGTCGCCAACCTCTTCAATGTGTTGATCTAATTTGGTTAATTTTAAAATAAACAGTGAGCTACCCCTATGACCTACCATGACAATTAGATTTTTTTGTGGAATTTTGAAGCTTCTCTGATTTTTGCAGTTAAGAGCTACCAGACCTAGGTTGCTTTAGAATGGTTATACGGAAAATTGAAGTACTGTCCAGTAGGTGTCGCTTTTCTATATAAAAAGGTGCTGTTAGAGCAATTATTTCTACTTACTAGTACATCTTCTTCTCTTTTCCAACGGTAAATTTAATGGACGGCGTAAAAAAATTGGGATTATTGAGAAATGAATCTTTCTGTCTATCGGTTCCAGTCCGGTTGATGAAAGTATGGTCATATAAACAAGACCCTAGGTTTAAGAAGTGCTGCATTAAAAGCATGAGTTTGAAACCATTACTTTTCTTGGTTCTTGGTTCCATTTTTTTTGACACCAGAAAATCACTGAGCACACTAAGCACGTCTAACGCTTCTGTCTCACAAAAAAAGTGAACTGGCTGAAACTATGAACATATGTTACAGACATGTGTACCAACATGACAAAAAGAATTACAAAGGTTACAAAAGTCACCTTACACCTCTGATTAAATGGTTCTTAGGTTTCATCTTTTTCCACAAAATTTTTGTCTTTTTTAATGTTTTTATGTTTGTGGTGACGTCCTTTTGAAAATATTACGTATGACTTACAAGACATAAACAAAAAAAGTCCTATATTTGGGCCTTTTTTCATCACAGATACCAACAAATCTATATGGCTGAGAAGCGCTTGAGACCGGCATTTGTCAAGACCATGGCCAACTATGATTGCCATATAAAACAATAGAGTTCTATACTTTTATCTGAGTACGCCACTGCATTTGCCTTTAAAAAAATTGTTTTGTTATTTTCGGAGAGTTAAAACGGGATTTTAGGTGTGATCTCTGCGGAATTACACGTCAATATTTCAATTACGTATTCTGAGACAAAAGTCTGCACCAAATTAACGTCTGTTAAACAAAAAATAACTACAATTTTACTAGTTGCACGAACCTCGTAGCTTCAGTAATAAAAGAATCCTCAATAGTGCCCAATTTAGGTTGTTCCTGTAGTATATCTAAAAAAAAATGTTTACACCCACTTCATAACGGAGCTCTTGGATGTTTTCTTCATCTTGGGATTTCTCCTAAAAAATTGTTTTAGTTTTTTTTTAGTTTCTTTTTATTGGCATATTAAATGTTCTTTGTTAATAGATGGCTATAAGTGAGAATGTTCAGGTTACTTAGTATAGGATCGGATAACCTCCAACCTCTATATCGAACGAAAGAAAATCTAATCAAGAAGACGTTATAAATACTAATTGCTACGCAGCAAGGATTAAAACCCAAGGGAATATTTCCAGGAAAATATTTCAATTTAGCAATTTTGCAGAACAAAGTGGGGCTCGTTTTATGTGCTAATAATTATTTATTCCAAAAGTTCCTCATATTTAAATATTAAACATTGATACAGTTCGTTCCACTTACTTCATATTATTTTTTGAAAGCATTTTATAGACTTCTCAAAACAAGAGTTTATAAGCTTATTTCTATTTCGGAACCATTGTATCTATCGAAAAAGTAAGGCAACTATACTGTATATCACTTTTTGAGGGTCTTATAGCTCAGCTCCGGGAGTAAAGAGTATAATTTAATTACTGGTGTGATAATTCCATCGGACCTGCTGGACAGTTTAATTTGCAAAATCCAATCCACGCAGGTTCACACTCTCATAAGGCTTGGTGCAGACATCAACATAAAAGATGTTAATAAAAGGAACGTCCTTCATTTGGTGGTGATGAATGGCGGAAGACTCGATCAGTTCGCCGCTGAAGTAAGTAAGGTAATCCCTTTAGTCATAGGTGCTTTAATGATATTTTCAGCAGCAGTCGAACTAATAGTACTGGCACGCACAAGAACGTTTATTTCTCATCGATAAAACGCAACCCAACCGGAAATCTTATATTCGACAATTAGTAACAAATAAAATATTTTTCAAAGAGACCAAACATTAATATAAGTCTGGATCTCGCTGTGCTACAAACTGCCATCATCAAACACCCAAGGAATTGAGAAATGGGAGTTTAGTACTAATATTTCTTGTTCTCTTTCTTCGTCCTTTCTTTTTATTCTCTTCTTCTGTAACCTTCGACATATTCAACATATGCATAGGAACAAAACTAACCAAGTGCATGACCAACACTCGATACCCATTATTTTCTTTCTTTCTTTCCTTTATAGCGCACTGCCAATATATTACAATGGACTTCACAGAGAAGAAGGAAGAGAATATTGGTTTTAGCAATCTGTTAAGGATGCAAGAGCAAACCTGATCCGTTCCTGTTATTTGCCTTACGTAGTCATTTGTTGTATGTCCTCTTCTTGATATCCTACCAGATCTTCTTCTCGCTCATTGTTCATATTGCCGAGCCATATTTTTAATCATGGAGTTATATATATGAATTTTACTACTCTTCGTCGCACTTCAAAAGTCACATTCAAAAATAAAATATTCTAGAATTTATAATTTATATCTTAAACAAAATGTTTGTTTATAACTGACAAATTTAGCAAAACTATGCTCCTTTTATGGTTTCGCAAAGGAGTTTTGGAGACTACGTGTAATTAACCCCTGATTACACTTTTCTGATAGAAGATTTTGAATCTATAAGAAATTTCAACAACCAGGCTAGCCAGCTGTATCCTATACCTAAATTCAATAATTTTCGAAATATTTAACTTATATTTGGTCCTCCATTTTCTTCAATACATCTGTTTTCTGTAATCAGTGATATATTGGAAATATTTATGTTCTAATAAGGTTTTTTAGTTGCTTTCTGTATTTGCGTTAACACGATTTTTTTGGAGTTCCTCTTAAAAATGCATCGATCAGCGTTAGGCCAGAATTGTTGGGTGACTATTTTATTCATCCATCTGTTCCGATCCATTTTTTTGATCAATAAACAATTTTTTCAGGCTTTTTCCTTATGGATCTTGGGATCTTCTTCACTGTTTTCTTCCTTCTGGCTAGGCTGGATGTTTGTAGAAATTTTTCGTAGATTCGATGAAATGTTTTTTTTTACAGAAAAATTTAAGCGAATTTCGCCCTCCTAATTGCTTTAACAAAATACAAAAATACAGTGACATTTCCCTGGGTTAACAAACAATCTGTTCAGAGAACAATATTCTTCAAAATTAGACAAATCTCTCCGTAGTCTACCACCACTATCTAAAAAGCAGCGGCCAACATCATACAGGAAAATCGCAAACCCCCGATGTTATATTTGCACTCTTTGATTTTATCCCATTTACAACAACATACTGAGATCGCCCGCACAGGTAACTCTTAAGGAGGGCGAGCAAAACACCGTCCACACCAAAATTCTCCAGTTTCAGTGCAAGAGTTGGGTGGTGAATTTGATTCTTCTTGCATTTTATAATAAAAAGAACGTTTTACAGTTTACAACTGTCAATATCAGTTATAAACAAAGATTTTGTTTTTGGAAACATCTATGTTCTATGTTCTACTTTCTTTCCCTCTTTTTGGTTAAAGCAATTAATGAAAAGAAAAGAACTAATCAACTATGTGTTAAAAAAAAGAAGCAACAAACTCACTTTCACCCGATTCGCTTCGTCGAGGTGCAGAACTTTTATTATCCCGAATGGTGTCTGAAAGTTCTGAACTTCTCCGGGCAAAAATCCACTTCGGAAAAGTCCGCTTCGCACGCACACCTCATCGTCGCGCAAAGGCACGTGCTCAAACATGACCGGGAACTTGCTCGCTTAATTACGTTATAAGACTCCGAACTTAAATACAAATTGCCTTTGTAACGATTAGGCAAAGTCCAGGGAGAGTTTGCTGCAGCTGCTCAACGAGAAGGATTCGAACGGATGCTCCCCGCTTCATTACGCAAGCCGAGAAGGGCACATCCGAAGTCTGGAAAATCTGATCCGTTTGGGTGCCTGCATTAATCTGAAAAACAACAATAACGAGAGTCCGCTTCATTTCGCCGCCAGGTCAGTAACAAATCACGTCATTATGCCTGGATTGCCTTTCAAATCGATCAGCCAGGGCATTAATTGTTATGGGAGAACTAGAAGCAGTATAATTTTAAAATTTGGAATTATACTTATCAACTTTTTTTTATTAAACGGAACTGCTTATGTATTTTTGCATTTTTGGATTCCCAGAAAAATCCTAGAAATATTTCGTGTCTAATATAGTTAGATTTCACGATTTCTGAGATATGTCACAGTTTATGTCGAAGAAATTAATAAGTTCTCTTCGCAGCTGCTTCAAATCAAATCAAACTGTAATGATAAAATACAATATTATCAAGACAATTGTATATATTAATGAAATTAAAACAAATGCCACTGGGGTTGACGAAATCTCTAAACTTATGCTTAAATACATTATTAATTCTTCCATAGAAGTAAACTGTTTTCCAAAAAGCTGTAAAATGTGACTTGGAAAACCATTAGCTAAAATTAATGCCCCGACAAGTTTCAACGACGTAAGAATAATAAGTATATTACCGGCATTCTCAAAAATATACAAAATAGCTCTTTAAACGTATACCTATATAATGGATAATAGAATAGTACCAGAAAGTCAGTGCGGTCTTAAAAGAAAGTGAAGTACTGCGAATGCTCTTACAAGTGTCATTGATGATATTGTGTGAGCCACTGACAAAAAACTAAAGAGTGCGTTAATACTTTTGGATTTTTTGGGCTGCCGCAAGGTTCCATTTCGGGGTCCTTATTTTTATTTTTTTGGATTTACACTTCTGACATTTTAAAACCTTTCAATTTTTGCAAAGTTCAGGCATGTGCCGACGAAACTCAATTGTATTGCTTTTTTGATTTTAATAGTACCATGGTATTTATAAATCAAGATCTTTACGGGATTAGTGAACTTTATCGTGCCCATAATTTAAAGCTAAACCCATCAAAATCGCATTTAATGATATTTGGAAATTAAAATAAAGTTAAGCTACTTAAACAAAATATTAATATAATGTTAGATAATATTAAACTACATTGTGATCTAAGATTTGGTGAATATTTATAAAATGTCTTTCAAAAGGCATGTTTCTCACTAAAAATCTTATATAGTAACAGATGTATTTTAAATTTTAGACTAAGGAAACAATTATGTGAGTCACCTGTTCTCTCACATTTTAACTACTGTGATGTAGTGTATGGTTTTTTTATTGATAAGGAGTGTATATGCCGTATTCAAAGGTTGCAGAATGCTTGGGTGCGTTTTCCTATGGGTCTTCGAAAATATGAGCATATATCTGTTGCATATCGTTAACTTAATTGGCTTAAAATGGAACAAAGAAATGAAAATTATCCATAACCTCGATTCATCCACTTTGCTGCGAGAGCGTCTTACTCCTAGGAGTACTATCCATTCTGTGAATGTAAGACACAGGTACAGACTAACGATGCCACATCATCAGAGTGCCTTGTTTCGTAGACCTTTCACATTCAGCGCAATTCCTGTTTATAATTCTTTGTCATAGGAATTCAGTAAATTAAATTTGTATTCATTTAAATAAAGGTATAAAGATCATTTGTTACAAATACAGTTTTCCTAAAGGGCTTATATTGAGTTATCAAATTCTTTATCTTCAATTGCAGTGTCTATAGTGTGTAGTAGAGTTTTGTTGTTCTTCCGATTTTGCAGGTATTTTTCATGTTTGTTTTGTTGTTCCTCCATTTTTATTTCAATAAATAATGCGCAATTTATTAATTATATAAATAGTTCTTTAGCGGTTCAGTAGAGTAACTGTTTAAAGCTAGACTGTGCCGCTTTTGAGCTATCTGTTTCTAATCAAAATGAAACATGTGCATTTCGAAGAATTAGAGAAAAATAAATAAATAATAAAATAAGAATTGAAAGTTCAGATTTTCACGAAATTATATATATTCACATGACAAACTACCTGCTACTATATATACCGAAAAATGAGCATAAAACCTTAATTAATGTTGTTGTGAGGATTCAAGTTTAATAATGTTCGTTAAGTAATACATTTGAATGTCTCATTTTCTTAATCACCATGACATCCCATAAATTTAATTTTCTGCTTTTTGTGGCTATATGTAAAATATCAAAATTGTCGTAAAAAATGTGTTTTTCTGTGTTTAAGTGGGTAGAATAATTAGAATCTAGACTATTGTTTTTAAACGCCATTTTATGTTCGTTAATGCGTTTCTTGAAAGATCTACCTGTTTGTCCAATATAAATTTTAGGGCATGATCCGCATTTCAACATGTACACACCTGATTTTTGAGATTTTTGACACTTCGTTTTACTGTTTTTTAAAAATTTTCCTAATGTGTTGTTAGTTCTGAAAGCTATTTTTAAACCACATTTTGACAAATGTTTTGAAACTTTTTCACTGGATTCTCCTATATATGTAATTGTTTTAAATTGTTCGTGTTCTGTATTAGGTTTCGAATAGAGTTTACTGTTATCTGCAACAGTATCGTAAACTGTGTGTTTCGTCAATTATACAGGGCTCGCGAGATATTTGAAAAAATATCAATCGACAACGCTATTATTTGTACAAAGTTTAATCTTTAACAAAGTAATTTTAAAGCTCAGCGAGACTTGCAAGACACTTTATACAGGGTGCATTCACAATAAAATGCGAAAATTTCATAGTGTCTCGTTCTACGACAAGAAGCAGCGTTGATTTTTCGAAAGCAATGTTGCTATGACAGCGTCCCAATTGCATTATATTCCAGATACGGTCGGTACAACACGGTGCGACAGCTGTTGGATTCCGAGAAGGGCACTTTCGTCATCAACGAAAGCGACGGCGAAGGAATGACACCTCTTCACATTGCGTCGCAACAGGGTCACGCCAGAGTGGTCCAGCTGCTGCTCAACAGAGGAGCTCTGCTGCACAGGGACCACAACGGAAGGAACCCCTTGCATTTGGCAGCTATGAACGGTTACACTCAAACGATCGAGCTTCTGTTGTCCGTCCACTCCCACCTACTGGATCAAACGGATAAAGATGGAGTAAGTTGCACCAGATGAATTCTTAAAATTATGTTTTTGTTATCCCTAGAACACTGCTTTGCATCTGGCAACGATGGAAAACAAACCGAACGCTATAGCTTTGCTGCTCTCTATGAACTGCAAGTTGCTCTACAATCAGATCCAGATGAGCGCCATCGACTACGCCATTTACTACAAGTACCTCGAGGCAGCGTTGGCCATGGTTACACACGAAGACAGGTAAGTCAATTCTTAAGCGTCTAACGGATAACAACAGTTTAATCATAGGGCCGAAGAGGTAATGTCGATGAAGTCCACAAAATTCCCTTCCGTGCCATTAGCTCTGATCGCGTCGATGCCCAGGGTATTCGAAGCTGTCCAGGATAAGTGCATCATCAGAGCGAATTGCAAGAAGGATTCCAAATTATTCTCGGTAAGAGCGCGGCTGCTTTATCAACAACCGACGATTATTTCGCTTTGTCTGGTTTCAGATCAAATACAATTTCAGCTGTCTGCAATGCTCGCCCTTGATCGAAGACATCGACGAGAAGACTGGCGAAAAAGTGGTTATCAGTAAACCAGTACCTCTGCCTGCATTGAACGTGAGTTGAGGCTTTGATTGAGTTAAAAAGATAATAATGATAAAACTTGTGTAGTGAAAAACTGCTAAAATTTATATACTTTATATATGATATATCATAGTATGACTGGTTAGTTTTAGTTACGAATTATTTAATGTTCACTTATAAATTTTCAACATTTTTCTATTTGTTGCCATAATAATTGCTTCAGGCCAAGTTTTGGGCATCTCCACTTCAATTGTCTTGTTTCTATATATTCCATTGTCGATTGGACTTCAATGTCCGTTTTTCCGACTCCCTTAACTCTTCTCAGGTGTGTCACCTCCAGGGCTTTTTTATTTTTATTTTTGTTGATATTTCTTTTTTACTTATGAAATTCTTATTCATTCAAGGTATAACTAGTGTTTTTTCTATTCTGTTATTTATATCTTTTTCCTTTTTTCCCTTATTCGTTATTTCTGCTCCTGAAACTTGTGACCTGCAATTTTATATCATTTGTGTTCATTTGCTTTGTTTTATTAAGTTTCATTCCAAAATCAACTGTAGCGTTATTCCATTAGGACTGCTATTCTGTAAATCTATCCCTTTACTGGCTACTACTAATAGATTGTGGACAACAGCTCCTTTGGATACTTTTCAATTTCTCATGTATCTATAGCATACATTATATTTCCTTACGGTTGCTCCACAGCTCTATATTATTTAAACAACATTGGCTGAGGAAACTGAGGAGAGCAAAGGGCTTAGTCCTATTCCTATTGTCCTGCCATTGTTGCGAATGACTCTGAAGTTTTATTTGGGTATATTTCATAGGTAATATTTTCCACTTACATATCTTTCAACATTCTTAGTATTTTATTTTCAGTTCCTCTTTCAATCAAAATTTTCCATACTTTGTCTCTTGGTACTTTGTGAGACGATTTCTCCAAGTCAATGAAGCCCAAATACCTTGTCTTGATCTATTGCCTTCCCAACTATTTGTTGGGATTCTCGTAGAGAATTTTCATCGGTTCCATCATTCTATCCATTCTGCTGTCCAAACTTGTATGATTTGACAAGTATTTCTATTCCTCTTTGACCAATGTTTGGTCATATTGACTGTGTTTCTTTATTACTTGTCATATTTCTTCTCTTGTTATGTACTTCTTGTAAGTATAATAGTTCTAGTAAAAAATTTCTCCATCTCCAAACAGCCTCGATCGCGTCTAAATCAGAATGGGTAAAATTTCATGATATCTGGCTCTGCTCTGTGCTGAAGTGCTCAGAATTGCCTGCGTGTTACTCAGTTATTCTAGAATTATATGTGAATTCTTGATAGCGGAAAGTGAAGATATATTTTAAAAATGCTACAAATTGTGTTCTTTTTACTAGGCGATGGTCCAACACGGCAGAGTGGAGTTGCTCGCTCACCCTCTTAGCCAGAAATACTTGCAAATGAAGTGGAACTCTTATGGGAAATACTTCCACTTGGCGAACCTGTTGTTCTACTGCATATTTTTGGGTCTGATCACGTGCTTCTCGTCGCAGCTCATGGAGCACGAGGCTTCTCTCGATTTTAACCATTTCTACATGAAAAATCTTACGGCGGCTCAGGTGAAATTAAGTCGAAAACCACTGCGGCGAAGTAATCGCTCAGGTCTTCTAGGAATATTACCAAAGGAAATCGGAAATTCTAAAAGTCAAAATCAGCACCGGAATGTACATCTGCGCGCTGGTCATAATCCTGTACATCGTGTTGAACAGCGGCAAAGAGCTGGTGCAAATCATTCAGCAGAAGTTCATGTACTTCATGGACCCCATCAATTTGGTCACGTGGCTTCTGTATGGTGCCTCGATCGTCATGGTAAGCTAGTCGTTAACTTTTTATAGCTCAAGATGATTGTGGACGCTGCGCAGGTGATGCCGATATTCGCCAATTCCATATACGACGTCCAGTTTTCATTCGCCTCGATCACGGTGTTCCTCAGCTGGTTCAATCTCCTCCTCCTGCTGCAGCGTTTCGACCAAGTCGGCATTTACGTCGTCATGTTCCTGGAAATACTGCAAACGCTGATAAAGGTGTTGATGGTGTTCTCGATACTGATAATCGCGTTTGGATTGGCGTTCTACATCCTGTTATCTAGAGTGAGATCATGTGGTATTCAGCAAATTCTTGGATTGGACAATCGTGCTTGTCTCAGGGGGACCATTTGTCGTTCAGATCGATCCCGATGTCGTTGATAAGAACGTTCTCGATGATGTTGGGCGAAATCGACTTCCTCGGCACCTACGTCAAGCCTTACTATCTGAGCAACAAGGATGAGAATACGTTCCTACCATTTCCCCTTCCGGCGTTCTTGATTCTGGGGCTGTTCATGGTACTGATGCCGATTTTGCTAATGAACCTACTAATCGGTTTGGCGGTTGGTGATATCGAATCGGTCAGGAGGAACGCGCAGCTTAAGAGGCTAGCGATGCAGGTAAGAAGAGGGGATATATTAGATCTTTTATCTGAAAAATTGTTAAACAATGATTTTTTTATTGAGATACTTCAGTGAACAAGTATCCAGCTGCTTCTACTTATAGCTTACTAGTTATATTGCAGTTCAGAGAAAAATAATGGATATGGTAAATTTGAGATATTTATGAAAATATACCAAAATTTTAATGTCATTACACAGTTTTGTTTTGGCTGACTTATAGGCCACATCAAGAGAATCTGATGATGTTTCTTTCAGAAGAGTACATTTTCAATCGGCAATATCTTAAACTACTCATAATGACGGTTAATTTTTTCTTCTTTCGATATTGTATGATTCTAATAAAAAACATCTTCCAACAAATTGGTTACCTTGTTATAATACACAAGAATTTTAGATCAAAACTGCTAAACAGAGAGAAATCTGGATACATTTGAAAAACTTCAAAACTGATTCAAATTGCGGAAGAAATCTCTTCTACTTTTTCAGACTTTTACGTCAATAGTTTTTATTCCGAGCTTCTCATTTCAATTCATTTCCTTTTCTTTTTGTGTCGCTCTTTTCTTTTCCTTTTTCCTTTTTTCTTTTGTTAGGAGTTTATTCGACACTCTCGTTTGAATTATGTTAATGAATTGATATTGTTTTCAATCTAGAAAACTAAGAAGTTTTACTTTGTAAGGTTGTGCTACATTCCGAATTGGAAAGAAAAATACCGCGAAAGCTCTTGGAAAAGGTCGACAAATCTGAGGTGATCGAATACCCTAATGAGGCAAAATGCAAAAAAGGATTTTTGGACATCATTCTGAAGAAGTGGTTCGGAAGTCCATTCTCTGAAGAATGTAAGTTTACGAAGAATATGAAAGGGTTTCCCCTAACACTTACCCTTAATATTTAATTCATTGTGTTTTAAAAAATATGGTGGGTAGAATTCTATTTAGAAGTTTCCTACTTGGAAAATGTTTTATTAAAAAAAGAGATATGTGGGGGATGACGTGGCATCGTTAGATTGTTTCTATACTGTACGTTTACAGAATGGATGGCACTTCTAGGAAAACGTCGCTCTCTTAAAAAAGTTGCAGAATCAAGATTATATAAAATTTCTATGCCTTCTTTGTTTCATTTTAAGCTAATTGAGTTGATATGTATGATCATATTTTTGGACACCCATAATAAAACGTACACAAGCATTCCGCAACTTCTGAATACGGCGTCGAGACTCACCATCCATAAAAAAAACTATGAATCACGTCACACTAGCTGAAATGTGAGAAAACAAGTGACCCACATAATTGTTTCCTAAATTTAAAATTTAAAATATACCTGTTACTATATAACATTTTTAGTAACATATGTGCCTTTTAAATTTCAAATGGTAACGAATCGTAAATCTATGATTATTCTCAAGCTCCTTGCTGAATCATTCAGTCATTAATTGACATTTTAATAGGCTTAGCTTTAAGCTGTAAGTGTAAATCATAAACAATATCTGAGCTAACATCGAACCCTGCGGTACCCCAGAGGAAATTTGTATTTCTTTGGAACATCTGGCCTCAGAGTCTATCTTTTCATATCGATATGAAAGGAAATGTTTTATTATCAAACGAAATCTATTTCAAATAATGGCCTTTAATTTTTTTGTAATTCGCCCGTTCACTCCATCTGCGTGACAATTGAGAACAGCATTAAATTTTTGTTAAAATGCTCGTTAAACTACCGTTAAAAGCTAAGCAACGTGATCACTACGAAGACAGGGACGTGTGCTGCTATTTATGGTGCTGGGTACTTGCTTTCAAAAACAAAATGTCAAAATGTTCTGTATATAAATTCATAACACACTCCTAATTTTCAGTTTGATGGAGTTAAATTCAATAATTCGAATTGTGAATTGAAAAAACGGTAAAAAGTTAAGTATCACAAATGTTTTTCTAAATAAATGAGAACTAAAAATTCGGATTTTCACGAAATTATATATTTTTACATGACAACACCGTGTCTTTATCAAATGTAATATTTACAAACTACCTGCTACTATATATACCGAATAATGACAAAATCTTAATGTTGTTGTGAGAATTTAAGGTCAATAAAGGAGAGGTATTAAATCTAATTGATCGTTAAGCAATAGATTTGAATGTCACATTTCAGTATATATAGTAGCAGGTAGTTTGTAAATATTACATTTGATAAAAACACGGTGTTGAATCTGAACTTTTAGTTCTTATTTATTTTGATAAATGGAGTTTCATCAAGTAAAAGCCACCTCAGTTCAACAATTTTCTTGATTAGGCACAGAATGAGAAACTGATCTAAATTCTTGCACAAACTCAGCTTTCATGCTCCTTTAAGAACTTTTAGGGAGTCACTGGGATTTCGCCTAGTGACAACAAGAAGCAATTTTCTCCTATTTCATTGGAAACGAAAAAATTTTCGCTCTCTTTATCCTTAATATCATCTTTTATCTTTTTCCCTGTCTTATCTTTTGCTTCGGTTTCACACAGCGAAGGAGGTTCTTTGATCTCTAACCAATCAATTATTCATCTAATAAAAATAATCGTCAGGGAAAAAATTCAAACAAGCATCGGTTAAAAATTTTGTAACTTTAATAGTGATTTTCAATACAACAATACAATTTTTTGTATTTTTTCTCGTCATTCAGGTGAAATCGCGATGGACAATCCGGAAGACTACGTCATCTCAGAATTGGACAAGACCAAAAGGAAACTGCGGGACATTTCTCAGACCCTCGAAGCTCAAAACTTACTTCTAAGGCTAATCGTGCAGGTAATCGTTTATCTTCGACTCGCGGCCTTCTCTGATCTGACGGACTCCGATTTTGCTTCATAGAAAATGGAAATCAAAACCGAAGCGGATGACGTGGACGAAGGAATTTCAATTAAGACGTCCACAAGTGCTCGGTCCAACAAATGGACGTCGCCCAAGATAAGGAAGAAGATCAAGTCGGTGTTGAGTTTTTCGCATCGAACCAACAGCGCTTAATTTTGATTTATAGATTTTTTTTATTATTTGTGTCAGTTGAGGGCTTTCGCAACGAAAATATCACATAATTTTTGATTTTAAGTGTCGGAAATTCGCGATCTGAAAGACTTTCGGGATCAAAGCCTCAAAATAAAAATTCTAAACATAAACACACCGAAACGCGTCATATTTACTTCCAAACGGTGGCGGCGGGTTTAATACCGAAATTTTTATTTCACAATGAACATTAATATATTTATTAGAGATAATCGTACATTTAACATTTTACAAAGACAAAGAATTATTTCAAGTTTTTATGCTAAACAGGTACGGTTTGACATTCATTCACATTAGTGGTTGTCTTATCACTAGTGATGGGAAAAACGGTTATGATTTATCACCAATCTCCCTCAAAAATTCATTCAAAGATAGTAGTAATAAAATTTATAAAAATACAGTCGATAAGCTGCGTAGTTTGGCCGGAAACTGGTTTGCGCGTTTGAAATTGATTTTAATTGGGTGGAACCGAACGAAAACCGGCAGCTCGATCATTTAAAATGTTGATTGATTTCATTTATGTTAATTACACCAGTAACATTAGATACCCGTTTGCCTATTTGTCTAATAAATGCATCGAGTCTTGTCCCTGTCATATTGTTGTTTTTATGTATAGCACACAATCAATTAACAAAATTAATAAATTGCATTAATTAGCATACTCTTTTAAGGTTTTTTCAGATACCTAAAGTTACCACTGATGATATAAATGTAGGGCAAAGTCCCACCTCGACCTTAGCTCTCGGACAATTCGACGTCGAGTCGAAGAACCTTCAAAAAAAAGCAACGGAATGTTATGCGTATCACAGTTACGTTGAAGTTTTATTTTTCGTAAGGAAAAGAAGATTTGATGGATATTCTTATAACCACAAAGGCAAAAACAAGGCCTAGTAAGTGGCGACTCTCAGAAATGCTAAGCACAAGAGTAATTTTTGATTCCTACCTTACTGACATTATACAGGGCGATTCACGTTGCGTGGCCTTTTAAAAATTTAGTGCAATTAAAAAGGAAACGCTTCGAAAGGCGACATACCTCTTCAACAGATGATGATCAATACTTTTTTATCACAACTAATAAATAAGAAACCAGGCTTACTTTTCAATTTTTGATCAATAGATATGATGGGCTGGTTAAACAGTGAATTTTTGGAATCCGTTTTCCTCAAAAAGGTTCATCAGCGTGATCAATCAGGTCTACCTTTTTCTTGCACCTTTCCATGCCAAAATTACAGAAACGCTAGAATTTACAAAACCTTCTCTGGGAAATATTAATAAAAAAAAACCTTTTCAGGTTCGTTCCGCATTATCTCACTAATTTCGTGACACCCTGTATATATTTATTATATTTTATTTTCTGACTCAAAAATCAAAATGGTGTTTCGAACATAAATATCAAATTTGAACTGTAAAAATAAGCAATATATTTTTTTCTAAATTGTTATAAAATATCTACAGGGCGCTGCCATTTTAAAAGGAAAACATCATATGAACATATTTCCCAAATATAACTCTCGAGATACAGGGTGGTAAAGTTTTAAAAAATAAAATCTACTGCATTATTTAGTGAACTACAATTTTTTAAAATACACCAGTGGCGGGCTTAGGGAACTTCACCTGTATATTGTGGCAGACATTTTGTTATGAGGGCATCTTAAAAGTCTAGTTTATCGCACCCCAGTAGAACTTATCTAGGTTCTATGTTTTTTTTTTATTGTTAATTTATTAACAAGCAATTTTGTTAAAAAATAGTAATAATAGGTAGTGTTTTTTTTTTAAATAAGAATCTTTTATTATTTATCTTGCCAGGATGTTATGTTATTTCATTAAAACTGTAAAAGAAAAAGAACAGTCTTCTAATATTTTTTTCTGAAGGACACTAGATATTTTGTTTTAGTTGTCGATTTAACCAGTGCAGTGGCAACATAATTGATCAAAATTATTTGTTCATAGACAGTCAGTAGAACGCCACTGATTTGCTTAAAAAACTACTGTATTTTTTTTAAAATAATGGTTCACTAAATAATGCCTCTTGATATACAATATATGTGTGTTAAATTTCATTAAAATATCTATAGTGGTATTACCACTCGATATCTCAAGATTTAAGACGTTTAGAACATATGTTCATATAAAGTTTTCTATTTAAAATTCACTACAAAACTAACCCCTTAGTTATTGAAATTTAATTATAAAAAATCCTATTTAGGCTGTCGTCTTTGTTTTCGCGTGATCTGGCAACGCTGTATTTGAGAAAATACTTCTAAGATATCGATCACTACACACTATGAAGTAGGTGAAGTTTCCCTTTTCAAATTCAGCGTGAATCACCATTATTTACAAGGTCTAGTGAAGGTGTGAAAGTTCGTATCATAACCCAATATTTCCATCCTCGAAATACGCCATCACATGGTGATTACGATTGTGGTGTTTTCAAAACACGCGTATAAAAAATGTAAAAACTTTTCGCTGGTTGCATTAATGGTGATCTACACGTCTAAAAGGATCTGAAGGTGTCAGTTTTGATCTCAAGCTGCGTGGATCATGCGTACTTCCTCCTCGCAAGCAGGACGATACTTCTGCGACCTGGTTTCGACGCATGTACACGAATCCAACTGCAAAACGACAACTGATCCAACCGTTCACACGAGTATATTATCACCAAAGATCTACCGAACTCATTTGACATTGACATATTGACATTGACCTTATATGGTAATTTTCTAAAGGTAATTTGGATATATTTATTGCTGTATGACGCCATGATGGTTTTAAATAGCCTATATTTTGTATTATGTATTTATATATATAGTGATAAATTTATGTTTTACCTCTTTTTGCTTTTGAGGCATTCTTTAGGTGAAAGATTTATACTTCGTTATTCTTCTTTTCTTAATATTTATGATTGTTGTATGACTAGGTTGTTAGGCAGATGCGGCTTGTTAAAAAAAAAAATATATCAATTTACGCAAAGATTGGATTTTAGCTTGATGTTTTTCCAATTGAAAACAGGCAAATATATTCAAAACTATCAGCTTTGATTGCTGATTATACTTTGGCGACATCTTGCAAAAGTTTATAAAGAGTTACAACAAATGAATGACGCATATATTTTAAAAGACACCTAACCAAAAACGACATCGACTATTACTAACAAACGAAATATAATGCATCAACGATTGTCATTATAGTTATTATTATGTTAAATTGTTGACTATCACGGTGACACTATGTGACAACTACTAGGTTGAGAAATAATTATTACCAAAATTCCCGTGTTTCAATGACATAAGAAGTACCATTCCGAATTATTTGATGGACGAACACATGTATTTTATTATTTATTTATTTATTTTTATTTATTACTTACCAACAACTAACAAAAAAGTAACCAAAATAACGATATTACATTCTTTAGTATTATCAAAAAACGTCTTACTAAAACATAGTTTTTAGTATTCAAAATTTATTTTATTTATGTTCGAAATGACCACTATCTGATTTCATACACGAAAACTTACACAAAAGTATTATTACTATTATTATTATTATTAAAGTATTATATACTTAGTAGTATTATAGTATTATATAGAAAAACTGACTGATTGGTGCGCTTTATGGGCTGGCGGAATCATTGGTCCGTACTTCTTCAAAAACGATGATGGCCAGAACGTTACAGTCAATGGTGATCGATATTACTAACTCTTTCATTCCTGAATTGAATAACCATTATGTCCAGGAGATGTGGTTTCAATAAGACGGCGCAACATGTCACACAGCTCGTGCCACAATCGATTTATTGAAAGACACTTTTAGTGACCGCCTAATTTCACGTTTTGGACCTGTGAATTGGCCTCCAAGATATTGTAATTTAACACCGCTAGACTACTTTCTGTGGGGCTATGTAAAGACATGCGGATAAGCCACAAACGCTTGACCATTTGGAAGACAACATTCGCCGTGTTATTGCCGATATACGGCCACAAATGTTGGAAAAAGTCATCGAAAATTGGACGTCTAGATTGGACTACATCCGCGCCAGCCGTGGCGGCCATATGCCAGAAATCATATTTAAAATGTAATGCCACAAGATTATCTTTCGGATAAATAAAATTCATGTCAATCGAATAATCCATCGTTGTTTTATTGCAACTTAAAGTTCTATACTTCGAAAAAAAATAGCCCTTACATTTGGTAATTTATAATGTATAGTTACTTCATTGTATAGACCTACTGATAATCGCAGTTAGTGTAAAATATTCCAACAAACTTGTAACCAAATGGCTTGTTGTATACAGCATTTCATTCAATAAATATCAACAATGGTGAGTTCGATAGATGTTTGGTCGCACTATACTACACAGTACTCACGTTCGTGGTCAGCTGGGCAGGAAAGTAACAGTTACATCTCTGCTTGTGAGTCGAATGCTTAGCGCCGTTGGTAGTCAATGATTCCCTGGATTTATCTAAAAATCACAGCTGTGAAACATTGGTTCAGGGCGACGCGTATGACCCACCTGCGTTAAAACTCGAAAATTTCACTTTCGACACGTCGAATTTGGTCTTGCTGTTCCTGCGGCTGACGCCGTTGTTGTAGAGGGAGCTACAGGACATCGTCGTGCATACTGACTGTCTGCCCACTGCTGAGCTAAAAAATGTCTCTTAAATATAAACATTAACCTGCTACCCAATATCAGAGAATTGGAACATCTCAAGATACGTCATTTCGATAAGAGACAGTCGTCGAGTAGAGGTTAGGTTTTTATCTTATCTGTTCAGTACAAGTTAGCGTAGAGTTCATTGAATATGATAACTATCTGATGGATTCGGTGTTGATGTTTACGTTCCATTATCACACAATACCTCAAAAATTTTTCACGTCCAGGAAAGCAACACCCGGTCAACTTGTTGGTAGCTAAGAACGTCATAACGCTGCTGACGTAAGGCTTCAGCTCCGCTTTCACTTCTCCATTGATAAAGCAATAGAGTATTGCCACGAAAAAGCCCTACAAGAGCAATACGGAAATCGTCAGCTTTGTTGAAGAATTGAACATCGTCACCTGAAAGCTTCCAAATAGTCTGTCGCACACCAGCCAGATGGCTTTCTTGTCCAGCGCATAGAGTACCAGAAATAAAGCGTAGTGGACCCCAAACAACGGGACCAACAGTAAAGTGGATTTGGCCCATTTCAAATATCGCCGCGACTCTTCGTTGACCGGCGCCCTTAACTTCTTGTACAGTACCGTCGAAATTATCACGAACAACACCAGGCTTATCTGGAAAGCAGTCAGCGTCTCCATCGAACTTTCGGCAGCGGTTAGAGCGTTACCAGAACCGATGCGAACGACGGGATGAGGATGATGAAGGAAACTCTCCAGTCGTCCAGCGTGGTCCAACACATTTTATCTTCCAGCATCAGCTTAGCGGTCACCCATGGGATGACAACCAGAAAGGGAAGACCTGCGTAAAAGCTCTCGGATAACGTAGACTGTGGCGATGGAGATGGAGGCTTACCCCAACCGCAAATAAAATAGTATATCAAATTCTTATTGGAATCGGTAAAAAGCGCCCGCAGCACCAGATTGTTCAAGTATACACCCTCCATGAGGATCCAGGAGTAGTTCGCCAGGGTGAAGTATTGTATGAGGGTCGTCACCAATTTGCATTCGTAATTGTTGGACTGGACATATGATATAATTGACAATTATTGTAGTAATCAATGACACCCACCGATTTAACTCTTTCTTGAATGAAGACTTAATTGGATCGGAGGCATGTCGGTGGTTCAATGCATCAAGGTCATTGATTAAAAACGAAATTTCAACTCTCGCACATGGGACTTCATAGCTGTTTTATAAGTTTTTATATTATCAACATAGGAAGGACCTCCATATCTCCAGTAGATATATGGTAGCGGTTTAGTTTGAAAAGATGTAATACTTTCTAGCTTGCTGATACCAAAATGTTGTTGAAATTTCAAGTTTTGGTTAGACCTTTTACTTAATATTAAAAAACGACGTTATAGAATTGCATGCTGTCTTGTGTTTTACTGAGTTTTATTGAATAATATTAATAAAATTTATTATTAATAATTTTTCAAATGTTCTTAAAGTTTCTTTAACTTACGTAGGTTGAAGGTTTTCATTACGCGCTGACCTTGAAATTTAAACACATTGCAATCTAGTAATATCATATTAGTCCATTTTATCATCTCAAATAATTTCAGCTCTTTATGAAATATTTTTTATATTATTTATATTAAGTTAATTTTATTATTAATTATATCATTAACTGGGATTTCATTAAAAAAAATTATTTGACAACTAAATTAAATAAAGTTAGACGGGTCTTCTGCTACAATCGGCGTAAACCTGCACTTTAACAATGACAGTTGCTTAATGGTGGAATATTTTAATTGCGTTATGTCCAGATATTTTCATTAATTGAAGAATGAAAAAAATAGAAATACATTTATATAAATATTTCAATGTGCAGCATTAAGATATTTTCCTTTGGCTCTTTGAGTTGCTCATGTTACCATGGTACATATAATAAATAAATAAAAATAGTTGCTTTTAAGTTGTTATATTATCAGCATTGGATGGATCTCCATATCTCCAGTAGCCATATGGTAGCAGTTTAGTATGAAAATTGGGGTAAACTCTCAGGCAGAAATAAGTTGTAATAATTTCTAGCTGATACAAAAATGTTGTTGGAATTTAAAGTTTTGGTTAGTCCTTCTACTTAATATTAAAAAATAGACCATGACGTTATAGAATTGCAAGCTGTTGAAATTTAAAGTCTTGGGTTATGTTAATAAAATTAATTATTGAAATATTTTAGTAAAAATAAATAAATTGAGATCTTTAGGTGTTCACTGCGCTTTAGCCTTGAAATTTAAACACATTGCAATCTAGAATTTTCATATTAGTCCGTTTTATCATCTCAAATAATTTCAGCTATTCATAAATTATATTAGATATATTGTAAAGTTAATTTTATTATTAATTATATAATTAACGTGAATTTCATTAAAAAAAAACATTTTTTGACAACCAAATAAAAAAAAGTTGGACTGGTTTTTTCGTACACTCGGCCTTAACCAGCACATCAACAATGAGAGTTAATGGTAGAATATTTCAAATGCGTTATGTCGAGATATTTTGATAACTTGATCGATGAAAAAAGAAGGAATACATTTATATAAATAATTCGTTGTGCAATGTTAAGATATTTTCCTTTAGTTCTTTAAGTGCCTCGTGTTACCGTAATACATATAATAAATAAACAAAAATTAAAAGTGACATAATTCGAGTTTGTATTATTTTTAACTTATTGCTCTTTTTTTCTTTATTTTAATTGCTTGCGAAAAACAACTGTGTAGATTTAATTTATTAATGGCAGACTAATTAGATGTAGCCGAATTTACTCACTTGACTGTCAGTGTGGAAGTACGCCTCGCCGTTTAAATATTTAATATCCTTCTGCAAACCTACCCCCTCGAAGAAGATGAGGTACCTGAGGATATTCATGAAGGCCCGCAAAATGAAAGAAGCGAACAGATTCATGTGCAAAATGTTTCTCGGACAGTGTAGCCGTCTAAAAAACAGTCTCGTTCGGTTTGATATTCCCAACAGTGACTCCATGAACTTACCTTAAAAGAAGCATGATGGTAAACGCGATTATCAGTGAGACAAGCGACACGGCGTATCCGGTTTCGCTAATAATTTTAACCAAGTCCTGCAACCGCAATGACATAAGGACATAAAATGATAAGAAAACGTCACTCTAACCGCCATTGTCTACCATTGCGCTCCTTTTTCTACGCTTCGTGGCACTCCCTGGCACCAAAGCGTCAAGTTTTAGTTGTTAATGTATTTTTAATTATTGAAAAATGTATTTTTCTGTAAAGTTCTGCAACTGCTCTTCGTATTTGCACTTCAGATCAACTCAATAAATAAAATAACAATTTAATTGGCGTTCAGAGAGAAACTCATAATTTTTTTTGGTAACTTAGTGTTGACTAAATCATTCAATATTAATTTATACAAAATATAACACATGGAACATCGAAATAATGCGTGCTTTTTATAGTAAAGACGCCTCAAATTTGATTTTATACTTTTATAACATGGTTTTTCAAAGTCTTTCTAATATTAAATTAAATGAAGGATTAAGGATTAACATTAAATAAAAGGTTTAATGTTAAACTTAAGGTCAGGATTAAAAAGTACCCCAAATTTGACATAGGCTTATAGGCTATTATTTTCTTTTCTTTTAAAAAGAAATTAAAAATAACGGTGACTATAATCGAGAGTGGCGAGCCTTTTATAAATTTTGGCATTTCATTAATACGAATATCGGAAACAGATGCCCTAGATTTCAGCCCTGTGGTACATCGAAATAAGTTTAAAAAACATATATATTAACCAGATTTTCTGATAACTGTTGCATATAATAAATGAGCCTTTCATTTTGAAAGTGACTTAAGTCCATTTATCTTTAATTTGAAATACTTAAGGTTTTGCGTTTTTACAAAATTAAAAATATACTTAAGATATATGGTTAACTTGCAATGTTAAAACGCATTTAAGGGATTTAATTTTATACAGCCCATTCAAAAGTCGCTATTATTAAGTGTAAAATACGACCTTGCTTACCTTAAAAGGACTTAGGTCACTTTCGAAATAAAAATTTGTTTTGTTACAAAAAGTGAAAGAGGTTAAGTCCGTTGCATATAGCTTAAAAAAGAAAAAAAAAACATTAAAAATATATTTTTAGATAATAGAAATAAATTTAGTAACCAGTTATTCGTTAACATTCTCAGTATGCGGGAGTGATTTCCCATGGGTTTAGCAATTTCTTTAAATTAAATATTATTTTTTAAATTTTAATTTAATATCAAAACGTAATTTAAATTTCCTTCATCACTGCTTTCAACATTTTGGGCCGCACTTTCTGTGTTTGTTGTTTTTGTGTGCTTCTTTAAATTAAATATTATTTTTTAAATGTCAATTTAATATCAAAACGTAATTTAAATTTCCTTCATCACTGCTTTCAATATTTTGGATGGCACTTTTTGACATCGTCAATAGAAAGTGGACTTAGGTCACTTTCAAAATTAGGATTTTCATTATTTATATTATTTTGAAAATGTATGTGACATAAAATTTATAAATGTACTAAGTATATTTCAATACCGATTTATTTTTTTGACAGTTCAGTTCAAGTGTCATTAGGTTAAAATCATCAATTAGGTTAATATATGGGACAATTAAATAATACGTGTTATGCTTTTTATAGTAAAGATACCTCAATTTTGATTTTATACTTTTTTAACATGATTTTTGTATAGCTCATAAAAAGGACTCCACATAATACAACTATATTCTAAATATTTCTTAATTTATGCATGAAATAAAATGTCCTCGTATCTTGAAAGCCATTTGAATTTCGAATCGAGAAAAATTTTCCTGTTATATTATGCTTATTAAACTTAAGATTGGGGTTAAAAATTACTCCAGTGTCTTTTATTTTTCTCACTAAATGCCATACTAACGTTATTAGCGTTATACTGGCTTGGCAATTAATGCCTTGTCTTTCAAAAAGTAATTAAAAATAACGGTCACTACAATCGAAAGTTACAACGTGGCAATCATCAAATTGCATATATTTTTTTACATATAAAGTCATTATTCATATTATAATTATTATGAATTTTAAATAATATATTTGGAAATCATCTGCAAATTTTATCATATCCGTTAATCTTAAACAAAGTTCCATTCAAGCCTGCGATACACCGAAATAGCTATGTGGAACAAAACAATATCATTTATATGCCATATACTGAGTGTTGCAACTTCTATGGCGACGGAGAATGAGCTCTCATTCCCTGGCCATGTCGAGCGACCAACCGTATACTTACAGCGGAATCTTTCGACATTAGATTGTCAGGATGCATGTCGGTTATAGTTTTGAATACCGTGATCGTACTCGTATTTGAACACGCTGTATAATTAGTGTAGGTCGCGTTGGCAGCCTTAACGAACCAAGTAGCGTTTTCTGTACATTTTCTGGTGGCGTTGTTGGTCTGAAATGTATGAAACAAGCGTCAAATGCCACCTAAAGTGGGAAATAGTAAAGTTTCTTTAACCGCGCAGCAGCCTCCACTGGAACTTTTCCTCCGTAAAGTTCCTATTCCCGGAGGATTCGAAAATAAGGTCCAAGGTTTTTATCGCTTCATTTTCAGTTCGGATTCTGAATGCCGGAAAGTATACAGATTTTTTTTTTGTGACAACTCAAACTACGCAACAACTTTGGTTTTGATGTACAGTGCATCCAATTTATCTTGATAATATTTTGTTTTTAGAGATATCAAACTGGACAAAGAAAAAAACAAAATGTAGGGTTAGCAGACAAGTATTTTTCCAAGTGACGTATAAACCAAAACATTTTCAATTTTCTGACATATAAGCCTAAATCATATTTTTTTAAATGGAGCACCCTGTATATTATATCTTATTCCGATTACAATGACGTAACACACGTTACATTTTACCTCGTATTTACAAATTAGAGTAGAACAAAAACACTAAAAATGACAAGACACACAAAAGTAAAAAATTCTTTAACTATTCTAAATACTACCACCATTTTCCTGAACACATTTCTCATACACTCTAATTGTATGATGTCTTGCATTTAGTGACGTTTCCGGATTGTCTTTAAAATCACCATCGCAATTTCTTGCATGCTGAGCATACTAACATCTAGTTTATCAAACCATTACGAACCAACTAATTGATTTTTTTCATTCTAGCATCAAAATGTTAGCTTTCATTCTCTGAATGACATTCACTCCTAGTAAACGGACAAAGTGATATCAAAGATGACAATGATAATTTTTCACGTAATTTTCAATCTTTAAAACTCTCTTTAGGATTACGTATCTTTAATTCATCAGAAACCCTAATTTTTCATAACAATTGTTACTTGCTTTAGTTTAAACTAAACAATCGAGAATATTAAAAAAAAAACTAACCAAAATGCGATATCCAGATTCTGTTTAGGCCTTTTTATTTCACTCAATACAAGAGTAAGGCTTTAGAAAAGAAAAGTAATAAAAAAGTTTTAACTGTACATTTTTACAATTATCAATTGGTATTTCCTCTGCTTGTCAAATTTAATGATTCCATCATCATTCCATCTTTGTTATTTTCAAATGAAATGCTGTCACACACATTGTTGTTTTTTCGAAAATTTATAGTTTTTTTTTTAGTTATTATTTCCACTGTTATCGGGAACACTGTTACCTCAATATGCCGCAATTGACGAATTTGGCAGCCGTGCTCATAAAATAGATTATAATTTTTCGTGGCGGTTCCATGTTTACCCGCTAACCCGAATATTTTCCAGAACGAAAATAAAACCCTGGCACATTTATAAAATTGGGTCAATAGACGTTCGCTGAACAAAGCTCGGATAAATTCGTTTCGAAGCCCCAGTTGATGTTCAAATGACACAAAAACTGCGACACGTTAAATCCGTATAAAAATTGGAATCGCACAAGACAAAAAAAAGTAATCAACGTTTCCCATAATTTGACTTTCCCAAGAAGAACCAACAGAAGATAGATACCAGGAATGGACTTTTGAAACAATTTACTTCTTAAAAAGTAAGGGTCACTAGGGTAAGTTTGACAGAAATTAGAAATGTCACATTTAACAAAACTAACAATACAATAATCCAACGATTCTGCATTTTATGACGTCATAGTCAGAGCACTACATCCAATAAGTATTTAGGAGTCATTGGTAAATTTGACATGGCTTTACATTCATGACTATGACTATCTAATATTGTGAAAAAGTCAAACTACTGGAACGCTACGCATTTCCAACTTTTCTATGAACTTTTTTACTTTTAGCTTGTTTTTCGAGGCACCCTGTATATTTAAAGCATAGTCAGTATTTTAAAGTCAATGATTCCTAGAAGCCATGGGATAAGAAATAGCGAGCTGAGATCCGGCAAGGAGAAAAACGTACCTTGATAAACCCTACGGCGTATTCCGCGCACGGCAACGAAGCTATCGTGTTGGGCAACTGGGGCGGCCAACATGTGATGGTGTCCCAGAAAGGAGGACACATCCAACCTGAAATAAAAAGCAGTTGTCGATTTCTCGGCAAACGGTAGCTCTTTTTCTTCGATTTTACGTACTGTTATGCGCCACGCTGTATATCGGCGTGTTGCTGGTAATGTTGGGGCCGTACGATTTAACACATTCGTCACGTGATCGGTTGAATGCGATTTCTTGGTAGTAGTAGACATCGGCGACTCCAAAATAAGACATTTCGATATCTGAAACAATAAACAATAATTCTTACATTTTCTGAGATAAAATGGGAAAAACGTCGTTAGGATTTCGATGCTTGGGTACTGAACAAAACATTCCTGGTTCTGACATTTTTTGGTTCGAAGAAATTTCATTCTTCGAGAAACGAAACAAAAATGGAAGAGAAAAAACATCTTGGTATTTGGAAAAGAAAAAAGAAACAACATTTGGTGGGGATTCGACGAAACCTCATTTTTTCAAAAACGAATGAAATTTTTATTTTTGGTTAGCACAAAAAAAAGTGGAAAACATTCACTTCAAGATAGCAACGATAAAAAATTTGTTTAAAATAATGTATTGTCATGTCGAAGTAGACCTCTCACCTTCAGCCCGATAAGAATTTGATTAGCTCGTAGAAATCTAAAATTAGGCTTATTGGTTCTATTAGATTCTTCTAGCATCGACAAAATAGCACAAGTATGACATTTTTATATTAAAAATAGAAACGATAATTCACAAAATAAAAGAAGCTATTTTAATATTGGGCCTATCAATAATTTTGCGGCATTTATAGAAACTGATAAGTCTAAAATGTTGGTAGTCCAATAATAACATATTATGGAACATTTCTGATGAACCTCACTTTGGTCAGGAGTTTGACGTGAATAAATCAAATACTTTACCATATATGAGAAAAGTGGCTAAAATCCACCGAAAACATCCGATCACCATCCGAATAGTTTTCCCAGGATTTTATGTTTTTATATTATTATTTAAGGGCTAAATCTTCAAAGAAGATCATTTTTTTCTTTCAAATATGTAAAACAGCTGTCCGGCCAGTCACACGCGAACAACAAGACAAAGAATTACTGTGAGAGACAGAGAAACTAATTAGACTAAAACAGAGATGTGACGTCGAAGATGTAAACTGGTACAGATTTAAACAAGATTGCTTTCGGAAAATCGACACTGGGCGCGTAGCGCGAAGCAGCTTTTTATTATAACAGAAAACAGCTTCGCGGTTTCGTGTGGTAAAGGGACGTATTGTTTTCTATCGTGCTCCTGTGGACCGCTATGGAACTTTCGCAAAATCGATGTTATTTAATTCTGCATGCACCCTGTATAAAATGTCCTTCACATCTCGTCAAACTTCAAAGTTATAGCAAACATCGGTAAATATTAAAATTTGCACAAATAATTGCGTTGTCGCGCCCAGTATAATTGACGAAACCTGAAACACTCTCAGGACACGGTTTACGATACTGTTCAACTATAATGTTCCCATCTTCAACGGTTTTTCATTTATCGCCAATAATTTACCCACAAAAACCGCAATTTTTAGGATGTTTTAGATTTTTTGCCCATAAACGACGCACCTCGTGAATCATATAAAGAATGTTCGAAGTAGAGGTTATAACCCTGGATCTTCCACGTTTCCTGATCCACGCATCCAAAAATGCTTAAATGTGGGCACGGACTTTTACTTTTCTGCGAAATTTCAAGTTGATAACTGCAAATTTAGGACACTTAGCACATTTCTCATTTAGCACGGAATATCGGGAACACGTTCTAAAATAGGTGAAAACTTCTTCTAGTTTAAGAATTTTTTTGGTCTCGTAAACAGTTTTTAAATTTGTAGCTCCAACGGTTCGAAAGTTATTTAGGAAAAACCAAAAGAAGAGAGCGGAGAACGGAGAACGGAAAGACAAAAAAAATTTTTTTTTCGAAGGTGATCATTTCTGTACCAACCGGCGATCCCATAGGAGCAAGGAAAGCAAGATAAAAATATGCAAACAGCTGTCTGACTACCTATGAGATACGCCAGTGAAACGCAAAGAAGCGGGCAAAGGCTGAGAACAATAGAATGAAGATAATTGAGTACATTTTGGGAATTACACTGAGAGACAGAGAAACTGATGAAAGCATATTATCCTTTTTCTTAGGACTGGGTCTTGTGTTTTCATCAAGGGTTTGCAAGGAGTATTTTGATGCTGAGAACCAGCTTTCATATCATCTTATAAGTGGCCGTCCAGGAGGTCAGGTTGTGTCTGGTTTATTTTCCTTTGTAATTTTTTCTTATGGTATTCTGTCGACATAGTCTCTCTATTCTCTTCTGCGATTCTTGCCAATTTTACTACATCCTGAATATCACACATGTCTCTTATTTCTTCATGTCTCCTCCTATCCAATACTTCTTGTACTAATATATTCATTTTGCGAAGTTAAATATCTTAGGTATGGTCTGTTCATAGATATAAGAAAGTAACCAATTGCTTTTGAATGGGATTATCCAAGGGTGGTCATTAACATACAATGCAACAAGATTATTACCTAAAATTTCGGAGTTTAAATTCAGGTAAAGTTGTGGTCCTTAATAGAAAATAATTTTATACCTACCTGTGTTTAATATTCTTTGGTTTGGTATACTTTAAGTTTATTAGTAATCATTCTTATTTCGTGTGTATTACAGCGTGTGTTGAATCATGTGCGAATTATGCAAAATATGTGCAAGTCTAGTGTATCTCAGGAGATGCTCCCGCCCAAATGTGGAAAACACTATTCTACTGAGACTAAGGAAGTTAGAAACAATGTTTATTTGGCTCTCATTGAACGTGGTGCCAGCAAGCAAGCATCCTTATATGAAACGGCCGCATTGACGAAAATTCTTACATCAACTGTATGGAAAATTGTGAAAAAAGAAGCGATGCTGACATTTTCTAGAGTGTAGGCGTAAAATTTACCAGTTATACGAGGAACAAAGCGTGCCTACATTAGATAAGTTAATTAGGAGGCTTGAAAAAGATGACACCGGTGTTAAATGTGGCAGAACTGCCTTATGGAAGTGTATTCATCACATGGGTTGTAGATTTAAAAAAATTGATAAAAGGCAAGTTTTCATCGAATCTTTTAGAATTCGGAAATGGCGACTGGAATGTCTAGAAAAAATTAGGATTTACAGAGAACAAAGACCAATTATTTACTTCGATTAAACCTGGTTCGACATTTATGATACCCCGGAAAAGGGTTGGGTTGACTGAACAAACGCGCCATCAAAAAGAGGTAAAAGAATAACTATTTTGCATGCTGGCTCTAAAAATGGTTGGATTCCAAAGGTACTTTCTCCCCCTGCGAAAAATATAAACGATTCTTCTCTGGATTACCGTGAAGACACCACCGCTGATTTATTTGAAAGTTGGTTTAAAAACAAACTAATTCCAAACATTCCTCCTATTAGCTTAATTGTAATGGACAATGCAAGTTATCACAGTAGACAGTTGACTAAAACCCACAAAAGCAACAATCCAAATCTACATGTATAATAACGACATTTAGTTTCACGAAGATTATACCAAAAATCAATTAATTGAGGTTCTACAAAGCTTGAACCTACAAAAGGAATACGTCTGTGATAATTATGCAAAAAATCTAGGGCATACAGTTTTAAGGCTTCCACCTTACCACTGTATATTTAATCAAATTGAACATGTTTGTCACCAACTGAAATCTGCCATTCGTCGTAACAATGTTTTTCCCCGTGTTAACTCCAATGTCCTCAAACTTATAGAAACCGAAGTGTTTAACATCCTTCCACAAAGTTGAGCAAATTCTGTTAAACATATAGAAAAAACAGAACAATCGTGGATATACGATTGCAAATAATATAGAACAAATAATAATTAGAACAGGCGATGATAGCGATAGTGATACTGATATATTATAATTATAATTTTAGTAATTTATCTAGGTAATAAAAATAATTTGTAATTTAATTTTAGATTTAATAATTAAATTCTAAGCAAAGTACGGACCTGTTCGGCCATATTTCATTCTTACAGCTTGCCCAGGTCTTTCCTTAATTCGTATCAGTTAGTCACTTTCTTATATCTATGAATAGACTTTATTCTGATATTAATGCTGCGAAATAGATGTAACGTCCAATATGGGCAAGGGATAAACAAAGAGAGCGGATGTGATGAACAAAGACATGCAAGAATGAAGTACCCAAGCTGGACGAGCCGGAAAGAAGGATAAAACAAAGCTACTGAGCTTTCCAAAGCGGTGCACTTGCAGTGGCAAGGAAAATACAATGGAATTTCAAAAGACGGTACGATATTTCTCAAAGCTTTATGAATTTATCCCCGAAATAACGGGCACTTCTACACTCTGTATTATGATACGCTACCAAAACGAATGGCAACCAAAACGGTTCGTATAAATCGAGATTTATTTTCTGCACGGCGTACAAAAATAATCGAATGAGTCAAAGAGAATTCGCAGCTCGAAAATGGCATTGCAAACGACACGGATAAGGAAGGAAGGAAAATGATATTTTACCCGCCGTATTTGAAATAAAAGCATAAACAGCAACTTCGCAGCAGCTGCGACAAAATTCCTCGTTCGAACGCAGTAAACCCAATTTATGTGCAAAAGAGTCTTGAATTTTTATAGAGCAGCGTCGCCATTTTATATTTTGCTTCTTCGCGCCTTGGAGACAGAACAACCCTAACACCTCGTTCAGCTGCGTGTTAAGTCTTCGATCGTGTAATGGAAGAACGTTTTGCTCCTTTTTTTCATACAGAGCTACCTCTGAGTTGCTTCTTTATATATATTCACATGACAATTGTTTCGACAACACCGTGTCTTCATCGAATGTAATATTTCTAAACTACCTGTTACTATAAATACCGAAACATGACGATAAAACCTTAGTTAATGTTTTGAAAATTCAAGTTTAATAATAGAGAGGTATTTAAATCTAATTGATTGTTAAGCAATACATTTGAATGTCCCATTTTGTTAATCTCCATGGCTTCCAATAAAATACATTTTCTACGTTTTGTGGCTGTATGTAAAATATCAAAATTGTCTTCAAAAATGCGTTTTTCTGTGTTTAAGTGTCTAGCATAATTGGAATATAGACTATTGTTTTTAAACGCTCTTTTATGTTCGTTAATGCGTTTCTTGAAGGATCTACCTACATGTCCAACATCAATTTTAGGACAAGATCCGCATTTCAACCTATAGA